ACGTTTGCCTCTTTAACAGTTGCTGTGCTTCAAGGGAACTCATTGTGTGAAGCCCTTTGAGACATTTCAACATGATAAACAGAGTGTCAATGCGAGTACTGTATTATTATTACTCATAATAATGCAGATTAGCAAAACACAAGCGAGATTGCACAGAGCCACGAGGCAGTTCCATGTTGTTTGAGAATAAATTGGAAAATGCTGCAAATTTCCGGCGACGTTAAAGGGAATTTTCGTCTCTTCCTGAAACGGACTTGCTTTCACAAGAAAAGCGGAAGTCTCAAACCGATGATTACCGTCTGTTGTCCTGTTGATTCTTAGACGTTATCTTTCAGCAGAATCTAGATGGCGCAGCGGATTGGGAATCTTGGAATTCTTGAGGTTAAATTATAGCCAAGTAAACTTGGTCAGAACAGAGTGATTTTCTCCACATGAGTCATCTGGCCCAATGTCCTCTCCTGCTCGATCCCCACACACAGACACTCTTTAATATTCCTTTTCATGCGTGCGTCTAATTCCGCTTAAAAATAATTGATCGGCTTTGCTTTGACAGCAATTAATTAATTAAACCTTGCCTTTGATGCAGTGCCTGATCTTGTCTTCAAGACTTCTCAAAGCGCTTCGCAGAATATACTGTCAAGTATAGTGACTGTATATTTTGTGGGGGAAGCGAGGCAGCCAATTGCGCACGACAGGGTCCCACAAAACGACATGGATTCATTGACCACATTATTTCTGACCCTTGGTGTTGTGTCGGCAAATTCCCATAATTTGCTGAAAGGGGAACAAACCCTTTAAAGTGCTTTTTGTGCTATTTGCGACATAAGGTTTCTGTTTAGCTCTATTTTCCTGTCGCTGAAGTTGACAAATGCGGGTCAGAAATACCAGGGGTGGAGTTTCTTCAAGGGGCAATTGATATTGTGTGAAAAATACAGAGTCACATCTGGGGTTGGAGTGAAAGAGAGAGAGAGAGTGACATTTAAGTGAGCTGACTGATATCGCCTCTGTTGGAATGTGTGATATTACTTCCTGTTTCATTTCTTATTCTGAATTTGCTCCACAACATAACTGGTAATGCGCTCACTCTGAGATGTACGTGCCAGAAATTCCGACACTTACTGGGATCTAATGGACACTCTGTGTCACTCAACCGCGAGACCTTTTATAAGAAGTCAGGGCTGATTTGATGAAGAGAGACCATTTGGTTGTTGGTGCGTTTGAAAGACATTTCGATGAGAGCAAAGAAGGTACCGTACGCTGTTTCTCTTGTGCGCATCATCAGTGAAGTATCCTGATTCGATTAGGACACGGGGTTTGCTGCAATGGGAAGGTGGTCGTTAGTTATTCTTGAAAGGAGAGATCAAATGGGTTGAAGGGTCCTCTCTGTCTACAAGGCTCTTCATTTTGTTTTTCAACGGGACAGTTTGACCCGTGTGGAAACTCACCCACCATCATCAATTGAAAGTCTGCAAAGCAGATTATGGAGAGTTTCCACTAAGAGGTTGAAATTTCCATTCGTGGGTTGCTTGAGAAAGGTGACTGGAGCCAGCGGTGAAACATCTGCTTAGCGTCCATATTGCTGCCTACGTTGAAATAAATCACTCTTGGAAGTCACCATATTTGGGGTCAATACTGACTGTGAGCGGGTGAGGAGTTCAGCTAGTAGCATCCACAACAATTCCATTTATATAAAGCCCTTTGCACAGGCTAGCATCTCGAAGCAACTCTGGCCTCCGAGTCAGAAGGTTGTAGGCTAAAACCCCACGTCAGGACTTTAAACTCAAATAGTGTAAGTTGACACCCCAATGGGCCTGGAGAGCATTGCAACGTCAGAGGTGCCATCCTTTCAAATGAGATGTTAAACCGAGGTCCCGTCTGCCTGTTCAAAGAGGACTTGGGTTTGATTCCTGGGCAAAGCCTTAGTCGAGTTTCCTTACTCCACACGCCACTGTTTTCCTAGCAGCAAGTAGGAGCTCGGTTGTTAATCGATTAGTGGATCGCTTTTCCAGGGGTAATAATAAAAAATGCGTTCATGACTGTTTGTGGGACACCCTTGTTTGAAATTGACTGCCACGTTTCGCCCACAAAATATACAATCGATTCACTGTACAGCATATTCTGTGAAGCGCTTTGAGACGTTTCAATGACGCAACAAGGCGTTATCTCGAACAAAAGGATTATCCTTAATTAATGCAGAACCACAGAATGCAGGTCACGGACTGGTCAGGCTTGAACTTCCTCTTCCTAATGGCTTACGCCATCATTTTCAAATGAGGCTTCCTCTCTCTTTCCCTCCCTCCCAGCCCCCCCCCCCCACACACACACACACACCCCAACCCCGACCCACCACCGCCACCCTCTGCTGAACACGCTGTGAAAGGTTCTCGGAAGGCGTCGTAGCCCGACCTCGAAACAGAATCAGTCTGCGATGCAAAGCCCTACAAGCCCTAAGCCGCACGTCCGAAGAGGAAAGCGACATCGCTTTGTATTTTGCCGCATTAAAGTCTCGAAGCAGAGCTGGGTTTGAGCCGGAGCTATATCTGCACACTCTGCTGCTCGGCACCTATGGTTCGTGGCTGCTGTTTCCTGCGACGGAACTGGCCACGGTCAAGTGTAGGGCTGCGTGAGGACAGTTGCGGTGAAAGTGCAGCAATGGAGTAGAGTAGTTATTTATTCCCAATTGGTTTTGACGTGCGCTCCTGCTGTTTGACTTCAGCGTTAGCTGTCGCTGTGAGTGTGGGCAGTCGCACAGCAAGACAACGCAAAAGGGCTGAGACATATTATCTGCCATTTTCTGTCAATTACAAAAACTAATTTAATACCTCCCAGCACATGAACTACATTACAGGAGCCCTACACACCCTGGAGAACAGTGAGCAATTTGGGCTTTGCTGACTACAGTATAACTGAATGCATTCTCTGCAGGCACAGAGGTATAAATAGATCCTTTCTTCTCTCCCCCCAACTCCTCTCTATTGATTGTGTCTCTACAGCTTTCTGGGTCAGAATGTTACACACCATATATTGAACCGATATTTGGGAGGACAAATTTGCAGGGGGAGAGAGTGGGGTAGTGGGATTAATTTGGACAGCTCTTTCAAGGGCCAGCATGGGCACCACACACCAAATCACCTCCTTCTGCGCTGTATAATTCTATGATTCCATTCCCCTTTTGCTAGTTCAACGTTGCTCTATCTGTTAAAGGCTGAGACCATGGCCATGGAACCCATTTACCAACTAAAGCATTCGGTCACCTCGTTCGCAACTCCTAACATGCAAACTGGTTCCTTCATTGCACCTGAGGTTGTCCACTTGACTAATACAGAAGCTAAAAATTGGCCACATAAACGAACTGAAACAATACTGTGCCCCTAACTAAACCCTTTGCTGACCCCAGAGCTAAGCCAGCTATTGCTAAACTGACTTGAGTTGCTCTTCGGTCCCCAGCTGAAGACTTTTATTGTGGGCTTATTTTTTGCCATTGCCGCAATTTATTTTCTCTTGTTTTGTTGAACGAGCAGCTTTTTTTTCTTGGTCAGGTTGTTCTTGCTCAATGACACACGAGGGAACTCATCACAATGCTTAAGACTATTCAAACCAGACAGAGACTTCTGTGCATTCCCACCTACACATGTGTATTGGAATGGAACGCCCACTCTTTCCCAGAGGGGATGCATCCTGCTTACCTAATACAGTACCGGAAAGTATTAGGTGTAGATTGGTGAGAGCCCAAGACTTGGGGACCCCAGAGTGTGTGTTGGGGGTAACAGTTGGAGTTTAATTACCTACAGCTATATAGCTTATATAATAATAATCCTCGCATCTGATTCAGCGCATTATCACATCTTCAAGACGTCTCAAAGCGCTGCACAGAATATATTGCAAAGTTAATTTACTGTATATTTTGTGGCCAAAATGCGGCAGCTAGATTCCCCGCTATTTGTCCAGCTAGGACCACTCTACCCGTTAGGGCTTTGGCTTGCAGAGTTAACAGGGGCCGAGTGGGAAGAACAAGCAACAGGGGAGAGTTTGTTAAAAAGTTGGGAATAACTGTATTGTGCAGCTCTGCATGGAGATGAGTAATACCTTCCGGTTCAGTTGGTACAGTAAAGTGGGATATAATGTGGAGCGTAGCAATGAATGTGATCGGAAGTGACTATATAGTTCATTCTGCCTGTCACTAAACTAGCTTCAAACCCAGATCCACTTACACACTTTAGTTGTGTCAGCACTGTATAATGACAAGCCCCACTGTAAGACTTTGAGCGCATAGATTAAACTGACACTCCATTACATCGCTGGGGGGGAGAGAGTGCTGCATTTTTTAGAGGTCCTCGTTCAAATGACCAATGTTTTAAAATATAAATTCAATTATTATGCAAATACTGGCAGTGGGTTTATGAACCTATGATGTTTAGGGATGCAAATCCAGTAACATTGGATGCAAATCCAGTAACAGTGTCACTACCCTATCAGCCTTTCTCCAGAGGAGATAAATTCCAGGTTGACTCTCCCTCCGATCTACTCTCAACCCTTTCGTTCCACCAAACAACCTGAGGTCCCAGAGCGCGTGTTAACGTGATTTCTACTGTGCCGTGTGCTGAGTTTCAGGCAAAGATTTATATATTTTTTTTAAAAAAAGTTTCTACTTGACCTTTATTGAGATTTGGTTGTAGCTGCAATCATCGTTCGAACGTGTGGCATTTTCTAGGTTCTTATTCCTGATGTTCTGCTGCATTAACATCTGTGCGGCAATAAAGGTCAGTTGCGAGATTGGGCACGGCTTTCAATGCGTACCGAAAATGGCTACGTCATATTTTTTAAGTGGATGAAGGAGGAAACTGCTTTCACTGTAGACAATGGGTTGTCCCTGACCTGAAGCAAGTCAGGCTGTGTTACGGTTCTTCCTGCTTGTCCAATGGGGACCAGCGATCAGTTAACCTCAACAAGCAACCCCGGTGCGTAAAGAAAACAGTCTCCTCTTCCTGCTGTGGATATGCTGAGCTGCAGGGTTTCACAAGACGGCTGGGGAATGCAGCTGTTTCCTGCTTCCAGCTCCATGTCCCTCGCACTTCCCAGGATCTTATGGAATAACTTTCAACGTGTTGGACTCAGGGACTCACAATCAACAACGAATCAGCTTCCTTCCTAACATTCTTCAGCGGCTGTGATTCTGAAACCACTGGAAGGTTGATGAGGAACATCATTTTTTTCTCTCCCCTCTCTCTCACCCTGACTCTCTCTCTCCGGGAACTTGGAAAAACAGTCAGTTTTTTTGCTTTGCCGCTCGATAGATCTCGAACTGTAAGGACCACCCACCCAGCGACCTACCGTACACAAGCAAAAATGTCCTGGAGCAAGTACACAGATGCTTTCAAATGTTGTTGCGGTGAGTAGATTCCGTTGGGGGGGAAAATTGGCTCATACACAGCGAGCTAAGGAAAGGACAGAGCCATAGAAATTTACGGCACAGAAGAAGGCCATTCGGCCCATTGTGTCTGTGCAGCCTCTTTTTATGATTAATCCTTTCAGTCCCGTTTACCCACCTTTTCTCCAAACTCCTTTTTAGGTAATTATCTATTTCCCTTTTGAAAGCTAAATATGGATGCTGCCTCTACCACCGCTCCCAACAGGGCGTCCCATACCCTAACGGCTCTGAGTGTGTTTTTTAAAAAAAGTTCCTCCTAACCTCCCTGTTTGCTCATCTCAAAGTGCTTGGCAATAGCAGCAATGGACACAAAGGAAGACACGAGGGAAAATTAAGGGTGATTGACCGCACCATTGGGTAGATTGGGGTTTAGGAGTTTTTTTTAGCAACACGGAGGGATTGTTGTTTGACAAGGGCGTTGTTGCTGAAGGCTTTGTCTCTGGGAGTGGAGTTAAGTGGTGGTGGGGGGAAGGGGGTGTGATGCGATCAACAAAGCAGAATCTGAAGAGGGCAGAGTGCGGACTGGGAGTGTCGGACGTTATGGGGTGGAGTGCGTCCGTGGTAGGATTCGATAACCAGTGGCTGTGATTCTGAAAACACTGGAAAGTTCTTGAGAACCTGGGCGAGGATTTTGAATTCGATCCGCTGAGAGTCAGCGAGATGGTGGAGCTCAGCCAGGACAGGGTTAGCGAGAGTGCAGGATCTTGTTGAGGACCGAAGTCTGGTCAGGGAGCTGTAGATGAGTTGAGCCTCTGATGGTCGGAGATTGGGAGGCCAGACAGGAGAACATGGAAGAAATCTATTCTAGAGTTAACTCTCTTGCTCAGGACTGCTCTTGGAATAACATTTCAATATTAAAGCTGCCAGGGATTCCTGGCTTCACAAAGTAAGCGGTTTAATGCCAAGAGCTGGCCCACCCTGAAGCTGATGTCATTCTATTATTGAATCCTCTGCCTGGTTTCATGTCCAGTTTGACGAAGACAGAAAGTGGAAATTCACTGTGATTTTTGTAGTAGAATTGTTTTTTTGAAACTACTTGTGAACCATCATAGTATTTTCTGTTGCCCCATCAGTAGATTATTTCACCCACAAAATATACGGTCCATTCACTTTACAGTATATTCTGTGAAGCGCTTTGAGGTGACTCGAAGACATGATAGTGCCAATTTGTTCTACTGTAAAGTGTAGTGACTGTGGATTTTGTAAGGGAGCAGATTCCTGAGCAAAACAGCACTTTGGTTATAAGAGATTGCGTACATGGGTCTAATGCAATATTGTGAAACTCCGAACAACAATAACAACAGCCCTAGTGATGTTTGAATTTGATATAGTGCCTTTCTCATCAGGAGGACGTTACAAAGGGCTTCACAGGATTTGTAAATTGTAGGCATAATAATAATAATAATAATAATAATCCTTGCATCTGATACAGCGCCTTATCACGTCTTTGAGACGTCTCAAAAGCTTTACAGGATACACTGTAAAGTGAATTGACTGTATATTTTGGGGGCGAATGTTTTGCAAAGCAAATTCTGATGATTATGTTTTTTTTTTACCTGGAGTGAGTGTGGTTTTGCCTGAGTTTTGGAAGAGGAGCTGAGCTTGAGTGTATATTGTATGTGTGAGTGCTTGAGTGTACAGGTGAAAGTGATTGATGCTGGCTACAGAAAAATGGTTGTCATCGCCTCCCATGATGCGAATTGGTCCTTTCTCTGTGCTTTCTGTTTCATTGATGTCTCTCGGACCAAGTGTAAGAAGCAAAAAAAANTTCATAACAGTCAATAAGGGGTACCATTTACATGTAAGTGGTTATTGTTGTTGTGTCGTTTGCGCTGTTGTGCTGTATGGTGTGAGGTGGGTAATTGAACAAAAGCTGCTTTGGGTGAATAAGGATGAAATGCTAATGGCTCAGTAAATGTGACTTGAAAGCTTTGGTTGAGCTGGTGTTAGGAGCTGCAGTGTTGCCATTGATCCAATTCCACAGGAATGCACAGTGTAGTTCTCCCTCCTTCGCCAGGCGATGCTCGTCTATTCTACATCAGGGTTCGTCTCTGTGTCTGACAGGAATCCTGGGAGGGATGGGAAGGGAGGGGGTGGGGAGGGGGGGGGAAGGGGAATGAGGGACGGTGTATACTGACAGAGGAAGTGCTTGTGGCAGAAACCGCTATTATTTGGCAGAACGGAGCCTCCTGCCTTTCGGATATGACAAGCCGCCCTTTGTTTCAGTCTGTGAGAGGCACACGGCCATTACTATTCACAGCTCACACAGAGGCTGTGCAGTATTCTCCGTGTCTGCCAGCTGAGCTGGAGCCCAGTCAGCAATAAGCCAGCCCCCGAGGACCATTTGTTGTGTACGGAGCAGGTGTTGTTGCAGTACTGGAATCCATTTTGCACCTTGCAGCTTGTTCATGCTCGTGCCTCTTAAACCAGGGATAGCAGAGGCCACTGAATAAGGTGCTTTTTATTCCAATGTTAGTTCGCCCTTTTCAAAGGAGATCATAATAATGCTTACATCTTATAATAATAATGTTCTTCGCGTTTGATACAGCGCCTTATCACGTCGTGGAGACGTCTCAAAGCGCTTCACAGAGCATATTGTAAAGTGTATTTTGTGGGTGAATCACCGAGATATGGCAAATCAAACTGGAAAAGCTGAATCTAATTTTAAAATGCTCCTAATTCTTTTTAAGCTTTGCTTCATCTTAATAATAATAATCCTTCCATAGTGCACCAACACAATAATAATCCTTTAATAACGCATCAGCAACGTCAGCGAGTCTCAAAGTGCTTCCTGTAAAATGCAGTAAAGCGTAGTGACTGTGTGTTTGTAAGCAAATATTGCGTGGCTGTGTGCGAACTGACTGCCACATTTGCCCTCGAATTCACAGACACCACACTTGGCAATATATCCTGTGAAGTTCGTTGAAACATCTCGACAATGCGATGAGGGGCTATATCAAATGCGAGGATTACTAATATTAAATACGCTTCCAGAAGAGCTGTTGACAATGGATAACGGCCTGGGGGATAATGTTTTTCCATTAACCCGGCTCCGATTAAGAATTTCCGAATTCCATTCACTCAAATCCTAATGACGTTGTTCATCTCTGACGGCAAATCTCCGTAACAGATTGCACAGATCGACAATTCATTAATTCACTTGACAGAAGCGAGCAGAGTTTCCGCAGAGGGGAACGCTCTTTCAATAGATTGCGAATTGCGAGGAACGAATCAAATTTGCTCGTCTTTCAAAAAGATTACATTATGTTGCAGACTTATTGTCTCAAACAAAGGGACATTAGTGTTGAGTCTTTGCTCATTGAAAGCCACGAAAAATGTTCATCTCAACGTAGCTATAATCTGAGAAAAATCAGCTTCAGGAATGCAATAATAACCCAAATGATCCTTACGTTTAATACAGTGCCTTTCGCGTCAGGAGGGCGTCTCAAAGCGCTTCACAGTATTTACTGTAAAGTGTGGTCGCCGTGTTTTGTGTAGGCAAAATGCTATTCCCACTGTGTGGTTGAGTATTTAACATTTTCACAGCATGATAGATCCAGAGGGAGACTATCATTTAATTCGCTTTTTTTGCAGTGGCGGAACACGTACAATTCCACACGCCTACCGATCTCATCGTTACAAGTTCAACGGAAATATTTTTGCTTTTGCTTTACATTATCCCGAGTTGCTTGTTTCGAAAGCTGCAGAAGCAAACATGGAGCCTCTGTTAAAAAAAAAATTTGCATTAATTAATATTTCCAACCCCACTTCAGTTATCGTAATGTTTTTTGGCGGAATAATGAATATTTTATTTCTCAAGCCCTGGGTGCGCATTTGGCTTCAACATGAATAATGACTTAAAAGTAGCTTTGAAAAAGTGTTGTTTGTGAAATATGTAAAGGAGCTGATTGACAGGAGCTTTTTGACTTCAAAGTCTCAATCTTAGACCTTTAAAGTCAGAAGCCTTTGTTAGTTTCATGTGCAACATTGCACATTGCACAGATGTACAGTGAGAGGCATCACTGTGAATAGTACCACACTAGCAATTGCTGAATGCAGTAGTTGTCAAAGTCTGCCTTTCCATCTTACTGTAACAACCATATCACAAAGACAGGGTGTGTGTGTGCGTGTGAGATTCCAGTCTGAATCTTTAACTGATTAGCTACCCTCAGAAACCAGCAGGCCTGTGCAAAGTTAGCAGATATCAACAGTGGGGAGGTACCAAGAGGACGGCTACAATTCTGATAATGTGCGAACAATACTCCTAGCGTTTGATACAGCACTTTATCAAGCGCTTCACAGGATTGAATGCATTTGTAGGCGAATGCGGACGCTGATCTTCACACACGCAGCCATGAAGGGGATGATCGATTGTATTTAAGATGGTTGGTCAGGCCATCGGGAGAAATTTCCTTCTCTTACATTCGAATGGTGTCACGGGTTCTTTAACGTCCACCTGAGCAGGCAGGCGAAACCTGGGTTTGAAGGCGTCCCGTGAAAGACGGCACCTCCGACAATGCAGCGCTCAACCCACCCCCCAATCCCACCCCACCCTTGGCTCGGCTGAAATCGCTGCACCTGCATTCTTTACCTGGCATTGGGGAAATCACTGAAAGTGGAGACTAATCAACAGTCATCCGGTGCTGATTGCATCTCAGTCAGGAAGAGAGCAGGAGGGTTTGGGTCAGTGCCATTTCATTAGAATGCAAGTGTTTCCTTGAGAGCATCCATCCCTTTCCCCCAACAAAGGCTAACGCTGTATCGCAACCACCTTGCAGCATACCAGGGCTTACTAGTTACAGGTGCGGTTGTTGGTGACAATCATACCATCTGGTTTCATTGAGAAATGACGGCAGCTAAATCTGCCTTTGATTTTGGGGTTTTTTTTTTGGTGGGGGGAGCTCGACACTTGCAATTTATTGGCAGCCTTTGCCGTCTGTGGGGAGCGCTGGAAGGTGTGAGCGTAATAGCTTCATAACATTGCAACGCTTCGATCAATTGGATTGCGGAGAATTTTGCATGGTTCTCGGTTGTCGGTCAGTCTGCTGAAAAGATGCTTTGCGTCTTCCCGTTATAAAGACGTAACACAAAACCGTTATTTATGCCCATCGGCATACAGTGGATTTTACCGTTCAGTCTCCCAGTTAAGATGAATGATTTTCCATCTTAGAATAAATAACAAACATCCCTCGCCTTCGATATCATGCCAGTGACATTGGAATGTCTCAAAGCGCCTCATGGTAATTACAGTTAAGTGAACGAAGCAGGCAACTTTCGCACAGCGTTGTAAAGTATTTACATTGTTAAATAGCATGTCCTCAATTCTCACACTGCTCTATCCAGATAGAGAGTGGGTGAACGAACCCTTACCCTCCCATAATACCAACCAGCCAGAGCAGGTGTACGTTCAATTTGGGTGAAAGAAATTTGGAGACGATCCCTAAGGAGCCTTCTTGATTGAAATAAATGGGGCAGAATGCCATTAATAACAGCTCATTGGTGGTGTGCTGCCGGGGATATTGGAGACTTCATCAGACTAGTCATTTTCTTTTACGCATTACACCAGTTTCCTATATAACCTCCTTATTCATCTACAGTGTATAAAATCAGCCTACTTGACCCAGAGTTGACTGTAAAATCCCAGCTCCATAATTCCTAAAGGATGCTTTGGAATCAATTGTTTGCCTCCACAACACTTGAATACAGGAATATCAATGGAGAATAGCGGTGTGTGGAAGATCTTCCACTGATAGTTGACGAGAAACTCTTAATGTTTACAGTTCCCCATTGATAATCGAGCCCTTCCTGCTCTGAGGGATTGGTATGTGGTCATTATGCATTTTTTAAGGGAGGCTCCTATAAATAAAGTGACTTTATCATTCCTTAGTTATTTTAAGTGCTTTGAGATGCTACCCTGCATCAAGGCGCTATGTAAATGTAAGTTGTTGTTGAGTGCAATACATTGGGGCTTGAACCCACAACCTTCTGATTCAAAGGCTACACTGCTAATCAACTGAGCCTGGGTGATATCTTAATATTGTGCTATTAAGCATTCAAAACCACACAAATTTGTTTGGTTAGCCAGGTGTCTTAACATACGTCATGCTTAAAGAGAATCCAGTAAAGACTGATACCACACGCCTTCGTCACTGACACAGGAAAGTTCCCTGTGTCTGGGATGGAATGCAAACTCTCCGCTCACACTCACAGTAACATATTACAAGAGGTGTGATGCACTTGTGCTGTTTTCCCTCTGGAGCTGCGTAATGAGGACCAGAGTACAAAATCAGCCTCTACAACATGAGTTATGTATTTCTATATAAGTCGTTTCCTGCACAGACGGATGTGGGTGGGAGGATGAGAAAGACTGTAATATAAGAGCTCTATTCAGTGGAATATCTGAACTAATAACTATATTAAACTGGACCTTTTTATAATATTTCCGTTACACTCTACTGCACTTAAATATAATCTGAAGGGGCGTACAATCCTCTCTCGGCATCTGTCCGAGGTGTTGGCCTCGCTCGTGTCTGAGTCGGGATTTGTGGGTTCAAGCCAAGTCGCACTGCAATGGGACATTGATCTCATGGTTTAGGCTGACTCTCCAATACAATGCGCTGAATTGTCAGAGGTGCCTTTCTTCAGCGAGACGTTAAACTGAGGTTCCGTCTACCTGTTTGGGCGCACTTTAAAGTTCCCGTGGTTGGGATCCCACAATTCGAAAAGGAAAGGGAGTTTCGTCTGGTTCCCCGTCCAAAAATCCCCCTAGATAAAATTGGTCATTTACTTCCAGGCTTGTTTGTTGAGACCAATTGAATGCATTTCAAAAGAGGTAACAACACGCAGACAGCTGTGTGTGGCCGCAGTTCCTTCCACTTTATCACCTTGTACATAAGTTGCACTCTGCAAACTGTGGCGAGAACTTCACACTTCAGACTCCCCCCTCTCCATGGTTTTCAGTCATTGAATACAGCTTAGCCTGTTTTGAGCAGCGAAGCCTAACAAGGTGTCATTGTTCGCCTGATAGCACCTTGGCCTCAAGTCAAAAGGTTGTGGGTTCAAGTATCACATCAGGACTTTGAGTTCACAGACTGGGCTGATGCTCTAGTGCAGCGCTGGAGGAGGTGTTGCATTATCAGAGGTAGCTTCCTTTCGATTCATCATCAGTGGCCTCGCTTTCAGCCATTACACCCCGAAACTCGAGAATACTCTCCCTCAATCCCTCCGCCTTTGCCCCTCCTTCCCCATCTTCAGGTTGCGTCTTCCTGTTCGACCGTGCTTACGGTCACCCACGACCCCTCTCACCCCCTTGGCTCGGAGTCAGGCGTGACACCACTGTTAAGTGCTCTGAGACACTACCCCTGTGTGAGGGGCACTACATAAATGAAAGTTGTTGTTGAGTTATTCCCATCCATACTTGATCCAACAGAACAAAAGGACACAGGGTTGGAATTGCAAAGGGTAATTCGAGGACAAGCACAAGGGGGAGTTTTTCTCTAATTAATAAGTTAAAAAGGTTGACAGGAAAGGGTACTTGAGATCAGGATGCTGTGGTTGAAGAATAGCAGGGCAGGGCATCCCGGCTTCAAAAATAAGGCTGATTTTAAGAATTGTCCTAAAATTTGAAGCCTCTGAAACACTTCAGGGGGAAAAAAAAAGCTAAACCCAGATTTGGGCAGAATTTTACCCCTGGCATTTCACATCTACGAGAGGCTGAATAACCCAAGCATCTCCCTGTTAAGCAAAGAGTTGAGTCCGGCATCACTCTGTTGTCTTGTTTTAGTTGTGTCAGGCTGTTAGATGTAAGATTGGCCACAGCAGACTGCAGTAGTCAGTTGGGTGGGGGTTGGATCGTCTTGTGTTTCCTCTGGTCATCTGGCCCTAAGGGTGCTGTATCATAAGCAAAGATTATATGTGTGTATATCATTACATCATTCCCTCTGCTTGCAGATTTCCGGATAATGGGCTGCGTGCATTGCAAAGAGAAGGGGTCACCCAAATCCCAAGCTGACGATGGGAATGGATTCTTCAACCAGAACACAAACCCACGTTACGGTCCAGACCCCACCAATCAACCACAGACGGCGGTCTTCACCCGGATCCCCGACTTCAACAGCTTCCACGATGCATCGGGTTCGGCTTTGACCCCTTTTGGGGGTTCAGTCGGTTACCCGGCGAGCACACTAACAACGAGAAGCGGAGGAGGAGTGCCAGGTTAGATACGATCGTCCGGCTCTGAGCGTTGTAGTCCAGGGCATTCAGAAGCCAATGTGACATTAACCCGGTTGTTAGTCCATTGGCGGATGGCGTTTCCGGGGGTAATAATCACTTCAAAAATAAAAAATTTGGTCACCCAATCCACGACTGTTTGTGGGACACTGTTGGGTGCAATTGACTGCCGCGATCCATCCACAAAATATTCAGTCAATTGGCTTTACAGTATATTCTGTGAGACACTCCCCCACCCCCCACCCCGCCGGAAGACGTGATTAGACGCTATATCAAATGTAAGGAGCTTGCCTACAAATTAGTGACTACACTTTATAGTAACTCCCGTGAGCCCTGTTGACTGCAGTGGAATGGGGGCGCTGGAATGGGTTAAAGAGAACCACATTAGAGTTTAATGGCTCGCCTGCCTTAATAGAAACAAGGATTGTGACAATTCAGGCAGAAGGTGGCATCTGGGGAATGAGCACGAATGCGAGAAAATACTGAACTCGTTTTGAACACAGATGGCGTGCTGCTTGATATGACTAATTCAGCAGTTCGTCAAAAACAAATGGGATTGAAGTCATTGGATGCAACAGTCCCACACTAAACAGCTCAGGAATAATGTTAAATAGCCACGACAGTGTGTGATCTGGCTTAACTTGCCAAGCACTGCATTTCCAGAGAGTAAATTCTCCAGATTTGGTAACACAACAATAAAATAATAACAATAATGATCCTTGCATTTGATAAAACGCCTTATCACATCATTGAGATGTCTCAAAGCGCTTCACAGGATATACAGTAAAGTGAATCGACTGTATTATTTGTGTCCAAAACGTGGCATCCAATTAAGCACAGCGGTGTCCCACAACACGAACTAATCTGGCTAGGTATTCGTTACTCTCAATCTACCCGCCAGGTTTGGCGATCATTCCAGGACAGGAAAGAGGTTGAAAGTACAACGGATCGGTGTCGAATTTCGTTTTGTTTATCCGTCGCTTTGTTATTTTCGTGCACGGTGGGTTTCTGCGTTGAGCATAAATTTGGCCTGTGGTTTGGAGCAGGAGGCGTTACGCTGTTCATCGCGCTGTACGATTACGACGCCAGGACTGAGGACGACCTCACCTTTAAGAAAGGAGAAAAATTCCACCTCATCAATAACTCGTGAGTATAACTCAGGATCAGGCGCTGAAATGGGCAGGTCTGGCCCGGTCTGGTCCAAATGCCTTGTGCACTTACGGCCCTGACATTTGCCGAACCAGACCAGCAAGATGTGAGGCTTGGCTGTGATCCTGTCAGCACTGACTGGACGAAGATCAATGGGACTGAAAAGGGGGTGAAGTAGTCAAAGGAAAAAATGAGGTCCCAGTGAATTCGTTACGGCTTTGATGGGTTATACATTACATTACGATTCACATTTACACAGAGCCTTTCACAAAGGGAGGAAAGCTTGGAAACTGCTGGGGGGGATGGGAGCCGGGATGGAGGGAAGGAGACCGAATATAGAGTCAAAGGGGGGAGGGGGCTAGAAAGATAGAGAGAGTAGAGGGGCGGGAAGGGGGCCGGAGAGAATCCGGGATGGATTTCCAGAGGGCGGGGGGGGGCTTATGAAAATGTGAGAAATTTCAGCATGGAAGGAGGTCGCTTGGTGAATTGTGACAGTATTGCATCATCCGTATTGCCATTTCCTGCGCTTTCACCATAGTTATTTATATCCGCAATCTGAATGTGTGTGAGCAGCGAGCTGGGTTTGATATTTTATGGATTGGGAGTGGCGGAAGCAAATCTCTTTTAACGTGCGATTGTATTATACTGTTTCCCTTCATCCACCGAATTTTATTCACCATGTCTAGTTTCCTCCCCTTTCTCCCTGGCTCAGTGTCAAACAACGCCATTGTTAAGCTCTCCCGTGCGAAAGCCGTTATATTAATGCAAGTTGTTTTTGCATCTGGGTAACGCTAAAAATAGTCGCAGCTTAATTTATTTCTCCTTTATTTTTGCCATTCTTTGCTTTTTGCTGAAAATCCACCCACAATATTACATTTCACAGTCTTCACAGTAAATCCTGGGAAGTGCTGTGAGACATCCTCCCAACGTAATAAGGTGCTGTATCAAAGTAAGGGTTCTTATCGTAGTAGTATTAAACATAATGCTAGTAATAATATCAGCATAATACATAATACTAAACATAATACTACTAATAATATCAGCAGAATTCACATTGTCCCAGAGGAACAGCAGTTTTTGCTGCAATGCCTGTTAGATGTGGAACTGTCTACTTACTTCCTGAACACACTGAATGATATTCCCAATTGTCATTTCAGGCTAGTTCATCAAGCCCAAATTATAGGAATTACTTCGGGACTGTCACTCGGCCCAAATGAAAGGAGAAAAAGAGTATTTGCCAATTGATTTGGTTTTCGTTCAGACGTTCTAAATAGCTTTTCTTTTCTCGCAGCATTGTTTCAGATGAGTAATGCTGTCTGCACACTATTTATATCAATTTTTCATCACAATAAACGTGTTGCATTGTGCAACTTCCTGCTCCACACATGACATCGGAATGGTAAAATAATAGGAAGTCTTTTGCTGCCATCTCCTGGCTGCATTTTATTTACTTCAATGCCATATTTCATGATCTTGCACAAGATCATTATTACCGCTGCTGCGTTTCGCCCACAAAATCTACAGTCAATTCGCTTTGCAGTATGTCCTGTGAAGCGCTTTGAGTCGACTCGATGATCTGATAAGGCGTTATATCAAATTCAAGGATTATTACTATTAATAGACAAAATAGGCCCAAGTGATCTTACACTGTGCTGTAAATTCTGATCTTAGATTATTGGTTTAATGGCGTCAAGACAGATTAAATTACAATAACTAGATTAGTTGTTGTTGGTGTTCTAGACAAAAGCACAGATAGTAGAGACCAAGTGGTATAAAGAGAGCGGTGATGTCAATACAGAAACTTTGCCTGCAAAATACACAGTCACTACATTTTGCAGTAAATCCTGTGAAGCGCTTTGATCCGTCCCACTGGGGTGAAAGAGTCAGTAGCAAATACAAGGGTGATTATTTTGTTAGGTTATGAAATGTAGATTAAACTGAAACGTGCAGCTTTCGTGCACATCCTTCCCAGGGTGTACATCCTTCAGTGTGCAGTATGTTTGCCAGTTATTGATGAACCTGCAGTCACTGCTGCAGTAAACAACAGTGCTCGATAGATGGCATCGCTGCAATAGCTATCAATGGATAATAAACCATGCATTAATAGAACAAATCCCTCAGCTGCGTGTAACCGATTTGGATGTGTTTTTCAGGGAAGGTGACTGGTGGGAAGTTCGGTCGCTGTCGACAGGGAATACTGGATACGTTCCCAGTAATTACGTGGCTCCAGTCAACTCGATCCAGGCAGAAGAGTAGGTTTCTAATGGTTTTTCTGGAATGACTGCAAACGGATGGCGATAATGTTTCTTGGTTTTCTGACGTGACTCTAATAAACTATTTCAGTTTAGTGTCCCGTTTAATAGCTTCGATCAGGTGACTGCCATCGCCTCATCTTATAATAGCTGCCGTATAATCGTTTATGAGGTGTTAAAACGCTTGCGTCTCGTCGAATGCTTTTGATGATTGCGTTGGGAGTTCCTTGCGCTCACACTGCTCCCATTTTTGTTAATCAGATGGTACTTTGGCAAGATGGGTCGGAAGGACGCAGAACGGATGTTAGTGTGCCCCAGTAACCCACGTGGCACCTTCCTCATCCGCGAAAGTGAAACCACCAAAGGTAGGTGTGCCATTGGCGTTGGTGTTGGCATTAGCATTGGCTTAGGATAGGGGAACTTGCTCTGTTCAGAGAGAGGTATGTTTGGCCACAAGTTTCCAGATGAATAATCCTTTCAAAGACTGTGTTCAGTCCTGGGGACACCCGACCTTTGGAATGATGCACTGGACTTTGCGGGTGTCCAGTGATTGTTCTCTGGGTTAATACCCAAGTTGAACTAACATGAAAGATTGGGTTTCCCTTGTTATGTTCCCCAGAGCAGAGGAGGATAAGGGGTGATTTGATTGAGGTGTTTAAAGAAATTAAAGCAATTATCAGTTTCGATAGGACCACTCATCCCTTTGGTAGAGGAACCATTACAAAGGGAGCATCGCCTTAAAATTAGAGCCAAGACAATTAGAAACGATCTGCTTATCGATCTGCACAAAGAATGCTCGGGTTTTGTGGCAAAATATTGCTTTTCATTCAGAGATGGAAATGTAAGGTTTCCTTACATAGCTGCAGTGGAGTCCTGTAGTTCAGTGGTTAGAGCACTCGCCTCACAAGCGAGAGGACCTGGATTCGATTCCCGGGCAGGGCGAAACCTTGGGCAAGTTTCCTTACTCCACACGCCTCTGTTTATCCAGCAGTAAGTAGGAACCCGGTTGTTAGTCAATTGGCGGATCACTTTTCCGAGGATAACAATCTCTCAAAAAAAATAATTTGGTCACTCAGTCCACAACTGTTTGTGGGACGCTGCTGTGCGCAATTGGCTGCCACATTTCGCCCACAAAATACACAGTCGATTCACTTTACAGTCTATTCTGCGAAGCGCCTTGAGACGCCTCGAAGACGTGATAAGACGCTGTAACAAATGCAAGGATTATTACTATTATTATAAAAGCGATGTGTGCTTCCTGCCCACACAGGTGCCTATTCCCTGTCAATCCGGGACTGGGACGAGGTGAAGGGAGATCACGTGAAACATTATAAGATCCGTAAGCTGGACAATGGTGGGTATTACATTACAACCCGGGCCCAGTTTGAGACTGTGCAGCAACTTGTCCAGCATTACACAGGTACGTGGGGTGTGTGAATGGGATTCTGGTTTCTCTCCTCCATTGTTAGCCGGGGGGGGAGGTGATGGGGATAGATTCCTGCCGGTATCTGAGGAACAGCCCAGCGGGGCACCAGGCTTTACGTTATCAGTTGGGACCCAGAGTTTTCAACTCCATACCAATTTGGTCAGGCAATGGGGGAAATAAACTCCCCTGCAAATCAATCGCATCGTTAGCCAGCAGGCAAATCAACAGGGGGGGAAAAAAGAACAGTTTACGGAAATTTTATTTTTGCTCCCAAAGGGTTCAGATGTATCATTCCTGTGATATTTCTGTCGCTTTCATCCAGCTGAAAATCTGAAAAACAAACGTCCCTTAACATCGTGCTCTGAACATCTGGGCAGACATGACCTTCCGATAATCAGTGTAATTGTGCAGCGCAGCGAAACCATACACAGATAGAAGCTTATTGAGTGTTTGTATTAGCCTCCAGTGTTTCCTGTCAAAGGAAACATTTGGGTGTCGATTTAGCTGCTCCCTGGAACTTTGCACTTCCAGAGACTTCGAACAAACAGTGCGCAGTTAAATGTTAAATCTGTTGCCTGGGTTATTTGGAACACGTGTTTCCCTCTCAGCATTTTACTGAGCTGCATGTCCAGCTGAGACCGGGGAAGCTTAATGTGTTGAACCTCACTCGAATCAAACACTGTTGAAATAGGTCTCATCTATGACCAGTGCATCTTCTCTGTGGCTCAACAGTTTGCAATGTCTTTGGGTTTTTAATTCAAGTCCAATCTTGAAACTGATAAGATGTGATGATCCATAAACTTCCTGCAATTTGCGACCATGTTCTCTTGTTAAAGCTCTGATCTATTGGCCTGTTTTTCCCCTTTGTTTAAAGTGGTACAGTGCAGACAAAGCCTTCTAAACTCAAATGTGTGATTACAACTACCCCACCCCTCGCGCCCCCACCCCCACCACCCCCAACACCCCAAAAAAATTAATTTGGGTTTGGGGGGAAAAAAAACATTATTTGTAAAAATCCAATTCGCGCTCTGCTATTTTATTGCCAGTTTTAACCGCTTACCCATTTCTTCTGTTACGTCTACGGAATCGCTGTGTATTTTAATTAGAACGAGGAGGCCATTTACCAAATTGTAGAAGAATTTGATTTGTTTGGCAACGTAGGAGCTGATTCTAAAGCACTTCATCGGGTTCACGTAGAGTCCGGGTACGGCCGCCATTACTTATTCACCCCAAATACCCATTTTGGCTTACACGGGCTGACGTCTGGGTCATTAGGTTGCCGCTGACGTCACTTCTTGCGCGGCATTCAGGAAGTGATGTTGGTGACCTGTGTGCCCCTGGTGAATGCTGTTGGCATTGACTAATGACAGTGCCCCCTTATAGCGCTGGATGGGATTTAATGAATTCCAACCATTGACTTATAACATGGCTCCACTGTAATTTAGTTACAATGGACATTGTATGTGATTGAGGTTATGCCTTTTCACACTGTACCACTTTATCTTTGTTATTGTTGTGTCTTCTGGCCAATGCTTATGTACAAGCTCTCTGGGATGCTACCCTGCGCGAGGGGCGCAATATAAATGCAAGTTGTTGTTGCTGTTGTTGTGTGTTGCTGCTGTTGGGCTGGTGTCGCCCCGCCCTGATTAGATCGAGTCCGTGAGCGAGCGATTTGTGCTGGCCGTAGCTTTGTGCCCGATCAACCCCAAGCTCACACAAAACCCGCAGCGGCTTTGATGCTCGGGGAAGAACCAACACAATTGAAATCAAGAGCTGTGTTCAGGTTGTCATAACACTGCGATGATGCGTTGCTCCATGCGTGTCTGTCAAACATCCAGTCAAGCCTCTCCGGGATAACTAGAAGGTTGTTTTGTTCTCCTTTAACACTCTCAATGTCCAAGGGAGGAATGGCAAAATCTGGCACAGAGCTAAACCCAACAGACCAGGGCTTGTTAGAGCAGAACTGTTTTTACTTATGGCTTTGATCTGCATAAGGTGACCAAGAAGTCGTGATACTGTTTATTTTTTAATAAAAATTACATTGTTATTCTTCATCATTTCTTTAAGACTTATTAGACATTGTAATGGTACAACATATAATAATAATCCTAGCACTTGATATAGCGCCTTATCACGTCTTTGAGACGTCTCAAAGCGCTTCACAGAATATACTGTCAAGTGCATTGACTGTACCTATATTTTGTGGACGAAATGCGGCAGCCAATTGCATAGAGCAGTGTCCCACAAACAGTTGTGGATTGAATGACCAATTTATTAATTCATTGTTAATTTGTAAAAAAAANGTTTGAGGGAATTATTACCCCTGGGAAAGCGATTCGCCAGTTGACTAACAACCGGGTTCCTACTCACTGCTACTTTTTGGGAAATCCGTATCCAGGAGACCCAAGTTTAAGATAAGTTACTATGGGATCTAAATAAGATGCATTTTAGCGAAAGTGAGGTGGACATGTGAGAAAGAAGGAAATAGAAGAGAGGGAGTAAGGAGTGGATGGAGAGTGGAGCATGTGGAGTACAAACACCAGGATGGACTAGCTGGACCTCATGGCCTGTTTCCGTGCTGGCTGGAAATCAATGCAAAGCTTATTTAATATTTAGCTAGTTACTGTGACTTTTTACAAAATATTTAGCTAGGAATCATGACTTTTTGGCCACCCTGTATCACTTACGAGGGACGTCGGAGAATTTTACAAGGAAAGTATTACAGATTTTACCCTCTGTAAAGGGATGTGATTATGCCTTACTGTTACGTTCTGACGCTTAATGTTGGTCGGTTGTTGCTGTGTTGATTAACTCTGTCTGCTCTCTCGCTCTTCTTCTCTCTTGCTGCCTCTCTGATGTGCCCTGTTCACAGACCGAGCAGCTGGGCTGTGCTGCCGGTTGGTGGTGCCGTGCCACAAGGGGATGCCAAAGCTGGCAGACCTTTCGGTCAAAACCAAAGATGTGTGGGAAATACCTCGCGAGTCGCTGCAGCTCATCAAGAAGCTGGGCAATGGGCAGTTTGGGGAAGTGTGGATGGGTAGGAACTGAGAATGTCCGGTTAAGGGGAACTGGGTATTGCACTTTGTTGTGGAGTGACCCACAAGACGGCATTCCTTCCAAAAACTCTACACCTCCTCCTGGGTAAAGGAGGCAAAGGGTCTTCGGAAGAAATGGCCATGTGTCGACACCGAGCCATTGATTGCCTTGGGGTACAGCTCTCACCATTTGAAAATACCGTTGACCCATTACACACGGTGAGCTCAACCTGGAAAATATTGTGAACGAAAATTCCTGATGGATGGCAAGTGCTTGGAATCAAGTTGCATCAGAAGTGCCAAAACCAATACTAGGCAGTAAGGTATTGATAAGCAGCTCTGCTGTAGTAAGACTTAAATTTGACCTGGCTTCCAAATTGAATGTTTTAGAGTGATTCATGAATTAACAAGGACTTAATTAGAATAGCTGACTATAATAAGAATATTAGTGTCGGAAGCACTGAATACCAGCAATACATTCTCCGAGCAATTGTAGCTCATTTGTTTCGGAAATGTTTGGGGTGTCAGCAGTAAATACATTATGAGGAATAATAATAGCCTATTTAGTCGCCCTGTGATGAATCTCTGGAGTACCCTTTCCTGGCCAGGGGACACTCCAGATTAAATGACTCAAAACTTCCCAATATTTATGGTGGGTTGTCAGTTTATTACAAATTTACTAAGAGCACAGATCCATCAGCCTGCCATCCATCCTACCAGCTGCCCTGCTGTCTCTGCAGAAGGAGCCTCTGCATTGCTCAAAGTAAGGACAGAGGAGGACTCTATCCTTTGCCAAATTGGCCACCCCATTTCTGACTGGCTCTCTTGATCATTCGAACGAGCAAAGAAATGCACTGCTTTAGCCCAAGGTTACCAATGGCGGTCACAATACTCACAGCACTTCCCATCTTCACTAAAGCATGTTGAACGTGTTTACATCCTTCCTCCATTGCATCCCATCTCCTACAGAAAATACTGACGGTTTGTGCCTTGTGATCTCGAAGCCTTGTCAATCTCAGAGACCACAGACTCTAGGACTGGGTAAAGATGCCTGGGAGATAACTCGAAATTCCATAAACTTGGTCACAAAAATTGGTCAGGGCTGTTTCGGAGATGTGTACACGGGTAAGGTGCAGAACCATTATGCTGCTACTTTTTGTCTTTTTAAGGAACGCCCCCCCAAAAAAAATTCCAAGGTATATTTATGACACAAAGGTGGTGTGAAGCAAGTTGGTGGCGTGGCTAATAAATGACCATTTGCCATCGAACTGTCAGTTGTACATTAATCAGTAACAGTCACCAGCATGCTGTTCTCATATTTTAGTTGATATTAACCTTTCCATAATACACAACTGGATTAATCCTCTCCTACTCAGAGTGCATCACTGTAGAATTAACAGTGCCCCGGAGTTTCCTGGTGCAGTGGTAGCTCTCTCGCCCTCCTGAGTCAGTAGGTTGTGGGTTCAAGCCCCACATTGGGACTTGGAATCACATTGTTAGAGCTGACGCTCCAATGCAGAGTTGGGGGGGGATGTGTGGCATTGTCGGAGGTGCCTTCCTTTGGATGAGACGTTACTGTTCAGGTGGATGTTAAAGATCCATGGCAGTTTCTCTCTCCCGGTGTCCTGGCCAAGAATCCCCCAAGTAATATTGATCACTCACTCCACGGCCATATTTGGGACATCGCTGTGTGCAACTGGCTATCCACTTTACAGTATATCCTGCGAAGCGCTTTGAGACGTCTCTGCGACTCGATAAGGCGTAATATCAAAATGAAAGGATTATAAACAGGTTACAACCCAAAGCCAAACAGGTTGACACACAGCCAAGCTCACAGGAAGCAGGGGCTTGCAAACCTGCCAGATTTGGAGCGATTCCTACTCAGAAAGTTCCTGAGAACCAGTGAATTCAGTGACATTTCCATCTGGATTTTCAGAAACCACACAGGATTTAATATGAATCATTAATATTCATATAAAGTTGTGTGTGTGTTTTGGAGGGGTGGGGGAGAAATGGGATTTTCCAATCTTCCATTTGATCTCAAACTAATAGAAAGAGGATGACTCCCTCTCCCATCCCCCCTCCCCACACTCAAGCACAATAATAAAACTGGTGTGTCCTCACCCCCTCCCATCTCACCAACACAGCACATTACTGGTGCTATAACAAATCACACCAACCTGACTCCCATCAGTGAGATTTGACAGCTGGGAAGTGGGCTTTGTTGCAGAGCACCAAGCTGTTTATTCATAAAGTACTCATAGCCACGAACAAAATGTAAACCAGGCCATATTGTGGATCTGTCTGGCTTGACAGAACAAATTCCTCTGAACGTAAGCTGAGCCCAGTTAGCTTCGTCCAAACTGCATCGTCTCGTAAGGATTCGGATGAAAAAAGCTAAGCTGCACTGAGCTCATTTTCAGCACTTTCAATAGGAGAGGGTTAATGTTTTTTATATATATATATATATATATCACATGCTGTTTCACTCCCTATCTTTAGAAGCATGATAAAACCATCCCATCACGCCCACCCTGTTTGCTGTCTCCTTTGTGCATTCTCTCCTTGATTGTTGTATTTTATGGGTTTTATTTTTGCTTAAACACTAACCGTTGGCCTGTGGATGATTTTCTCTCCTCCTCCCACCATTCCTGCCGTTGGTTGGATGTAGGCACATGGAATGGGACCACCAAGGTTGCAGTGAAGACTCTGAAACCCGGGACCATGTCTCCAGAAGCCTTTCTTGAAGAAGCCCAGATAATGAAGAGACTCCGACATGACAAACTGGTGCAGCTTTACGCCGTGGTGTCTGAGGAACCCATCTACATTGTCACAGAGTTCATGAGTCAAGGTATTTGGCTTTACATTGATATGCACTGAATCACTACCGTCCCCAGCATTCTTCACAGATGCTACCCCACGTGAAGGGGGCGATCTAAATGCAATTGTTGTTGTAATATAATAGTAACCCTTTCATTCGATGTGAAGCCTTTCACTGTCGGGAGGACAACAACAAATTACATTTGTATAACGTTGGTAGGAGGTCCCACAGCAGTCAGAGATTTGGACCCGAGCAGTTGGCAGGACGTGCTCAAAGAGCTTCACGGAAAATACCGCAAAGGGTATTTTGTGTGTCAGCCTGGCACAGTTGGTAGCGCTCTCGCCATCTGTTTAAGAGGAAGCATGGTGCCTATGCGAAGGAGCAGGGGAATAGGAAAGATGGAGTATAAGAAGAGAGGCACAGACTTTTCCACAGAATGAACGATTAAAAAGTGACATGGGAAAAGTGCGCAGTGAAAGAAATCACAGGAGCAAGTGGAAAATAGTTATAATTCCCCTATTACATAATAGCTGTCGATTATTACTGGAGCACCACAGACCTTGTCGAGCTTTACACCCAGATTTTGCACATCAAGGTAATTCCAGGACACTGTCCTGTTGTTCATTAGTAGAACTTGGATTCTATCCTGCATACTTGTTGGGCTCTGGAATCAATTTATTCCACGTAGGAGTCTTAAGTGCCGTAAGGTGAGACATGTTTTCATTAAACGCTTGCATTGTGTCTGCTAGGTTTCCGTCACAACCATTCAGATCACGATGTGTAAAGGAAAGATGTGAGCTTGACCCTTAATGCCCTCTCTTGGTTGGCTTGCTTGCGTTTCAGCATTTCTCATCCATGTCATTCGGCATTGACACTTACTGACGGACAATAAAACTCAGTTTACATTTATACAGCGCCTTTCATATCAGAAGGACGTCTCAAAGCGCTTGACACTGCTGGCTGGGAGAGTGTGTGTATGTGTGTGTGCGCGCGCGTGTACGGAGAGGGGAAGAAGACCGAATGCGCAGTCAATGATCTGTCTTGAGACGGGCCTTGATTCGAGGGGGAGGGAGCGACAGAGAGGAGAACGACTCAGAGGGATTCTGGCCCGGAGGTCCGAGAGACCAGGAACAGAATGTACATCAATAATGGATGGAAGAAGCCCTTCAGCTCATTTGATCTCATTCCTTTCGAATCACAGTATCGCGCTGTTTCTTAAGTGAGTCCTAGTTTCCTGGCCTCACCACTCTTCCTGGCAACCTGTTCCAGTCATTAATTACCCTCTGGGTAAAGAGATACCTGGTGCCTGTCCTGAAATTGTCCTTTGCCGCCCTAAACCTGTGTCCTCTTGTCTTGTTGTCTTGGTGCATCTCAAAAGTTATTGATGAGTCCTGTTTTATCTCTACAGGAAGCTTGCTCGAGTTCTTAAAGGATGGAGACGGGAGGATATTGAAACTACCACAGCTGGTTGACATGGCAGCTCAGGTGTGATTAATGGCCCCCAATTGTTCAGGAATCAGCATTTGAAATATTCCACCTTGTTTCATTTGCTTTTCTCCAGTGTTTTAGCAGAATCAAATCTGTGATTCCATGGAGTTTCATCTGTAAAAATTATAGCAACAGTAACTTAGCTCTCAGTCTATCGACAGATATACTATGGATTGATTTCTTCTTTAAAACGAAAGCTGCTATCATCAAAAATATAATGCACTTTGCATTTGTTAGAGCGACTTTCCGGCGGGGTGGGGCGGGGGATGCCTCAAAGCGTTTAAGAATGGATGGACAGCTGAGCTGGGGGTGGGAGCGAGGAGGGGGAAAAGTGACCAAAAGCCCAGTCAAAGAGGTACATGAAAGAGGGGAGGGAGGGAGCGAGTCAGGGTGACACCGCGATGCTAATTCGTGACTGCATTGTTGGTTTTGTTTCCTTCCTCCTGGTTAGATTGCTGCAGGGATGGCCTATATTGAACGGATGAACTACATACACCGAGATTTGAGGGCAGCAAACATACTGGTGGCCGAGAACCTCGTGTGCAAGATAGCGGACTTCGGACTGGCCAGGCTGATCGAAGACAATGAGTACACAGCACGGCAAGGTAACTTAGCTTACCGCTGCACTGCAGCTACACTCACTGGTGACTGACGAGGAATCCCTGTGTGTTTCTTGAGTGGCAAAGGCAGAACATTCTTAACACGTAATTCTCAAAATGTGGATACGTTAAATAGCTGATAAGTCCGTGGATAGACTTAATTGGCGCTAATATTTTATAGGACTTGTGGGAATTAGTGCTTGGGTCTCATAGTAAACGGATAGGTAAGATCTGCTTTACACAGGTGCTTGTACATACTGTGGTTGGTGGAGGTCCTGGTAACGTGTTCGAGTCGTTAATTACCCTCTGAGTAAAGATCATATTGGTAAGCCCAAACATTTCTAACGGGGGGATAGTTTATCATCAAAAAAAGGAGCGTATGGAGTATTACCCTGTCCTTCCTTTATATCAGGTGCCAAGTTCCCTATCAAATGGACCGCTCCTGAAGCCGCCCTCTATGGAAAGTTTACAATCAAGTCTGACGTGTGGTCATTTGGAATCCTTCTGACAGAGCTGGTCACCAAGGGAAGGGTTCCTTACCCAGGTAAGGCTGAGCAAACGCAACAATCTGTTTAGAGCTTAGAAAGGTCCCAGTGTGAAAAAACCTTAGGGAAAGGGAACATCATTAAGAACATTGGAAAACAGGCGCAGGAGGGGGCCATTCAACCCATTGAGCCCATTCCATCAGTTTGTTAAACCTGGGCAGATTATCCGACAACAAGAAGAACAAGACAACAAATTGCATTTATTTAGCACGTTTCAGGTTGGGGGGACGTCCCACAGTGCTGAAAGATGCCAGTAAGCCCAATTCCCTGTCCTTTCACTATACAAAACATTCCGGTTATTTCCATCGCTTCAGTTTTGTGGGCAGAGCATTCCACATCTTCACAATCCTCTGTGTGAAGTAATTCTTTCTGACCTCAGCTGTAATTGTATTGATTCTGATTGTAAAGCTGTGTTGCTCTTATAAAGCATCCTCTAGCAGAGGGAAGAGCAGTCCACTGTCTAACCTGTCAATTCCTTTCATTTTTTTTAAACACCTCAATCAAATCACTCCTTATTGTCTCTCTGAGGAATAAAACCCTGGGAAACCCAATCTTCCATCATAGTTCACCCCAGGTATTAATCCAGTGAAAACCCTCCCAGACTAGTATATCATTCCTAATATCTGGTGCCCAAATACTCAACACGGTCTTTCAAATGTCTCTGCTTGGAATGATGAACATCCACAGAGAGCCATAATGAAAATATTAATCCTGTGAGAGAATAGCGCGTTGATTTATTTTGGATGTGTGATTCATTTCTACTCTAAATTGGTGACTTCAATCCATGGCTGTTTGTGGGACACTGCTGTGTGCAATTGGCTGCCCGCATTTCACCCACAATATATTCTTTGAAGCGCTTTGGTACGTCTCGAAGACGCGATAAGGCGCTATATCAAATGCAAAGATCGTTATTGTTGCTCACTTGTGACAAACTCACTTCTTGTTCGTAAGGAATGAACAACCGGGAAGTACTAGAACAAGTGGAGCGAGGATACAGGATGCCGAGTCCTCATGGCTGTCCCGGGTCTCTGCACGACCTTATGATCCAGTGTTGGAAGAAGGATCCAGAGGACAGACCCACCTTTGAGTATCTGCAGTCCTTCCTCGAGGACTATTTCACAGCAACAGAACCCCAGTACCAGCCCGGAGAAAACCTGTAGGCCTTCCTGGCTCCCAAAACATTCCTGAGTCTGTGAAATCTGCATTTACGGTTGCGTGCTAAACTTTTCCAAGGTGGCTGATCCTGGAGTCTTACCTCTGATGAGACCTGGGTATAAAACTTGAAGGAACTCATTGCGTATCAGGCTGGCTGGCTGGAGGAGCTTCCAAGTCGTGAGACCTGACTCCCTCCCAACCGTTCTGGGTTGGAGATGGCGGCTTCTCTCTCTGCTGCACTTAACATTTATCACCTTTTAAAGTACAGAAGTTCGCAAACCCGACTCTGCATTCGGATCGTGGGTCAAGTGTGAGTTGCACTGATGTTGTTCGGCAAAGCACTGAGCTCCCAACACCGAATTTTAAGCCTACTTGACTGGTTCCGTCAGGACCTGGAACCACATCCGTTGGCTGTGGAACTGCATGGGTTTATTGGGGTGTTGCTTTTTTAAAGCAGTGTATATGATATGTGGGACTGATCTCCTATGCTTATTTAACAATGTTGCCTAGCACCATACTAAAATAGCTAGATCTCTCCTTTTCTTTTCTTTCTTTCCTATTAATATTTCACTGAGCTTTTATATTTGATTTGCCATATTCGAGAAATATTTTATCCGGTTCTTTGTACAATTTTTTAAGGCCTACGAAATAAGGAAAAAGCATTAAAAATGCCTAATTTTTTACGGTGGCATCGCGCCAATCTGATGGACCAGTTCAGACACTGAGAGAGAGAAAAAAATAACTGTCGAAATGTAAATATGGTCAACTTTTGTGCCAGGGTTTGATGGGTTGAAATCATGGATTAGGTGAGGAACAAAAAAACATTCAACCTGATAAGCTACACAAGCAAAGCAGCCACGATATGGTAATAGATTGTTACCATGTTTGAGTCACTGGGTATTATAAAATTATGCTTGTGTTGTTTGTGAGCAGGATAGCCGAATTGTCTACGTGTAGGAGCACTGGATCTTAAAGAGACGTTCTACTGAGCAGGGTTGTAAGATAGACACTGAAGTCATGGGGGTAGTGGGGAGGGAAAACGATTTTTTTCGTGGGAATTCCTGAGAAAATGTGTTATAATTTAGACACGTCAATTGCTAAGTATTTAATCCAATTGTACTTTCATGTCATTCAGTTAAAACTCTTCTGTTCAGCATGATTTTACGTGCAAACGTATTGTAAGTGCCTCACCCAGGCGACGCCTCACTTTTTATCGGGCAGATAAAAAAAAAAGTTATACTTAATGGATCGACACAGATCAAAGCCATTGGTAAACCGTATGTCTCCTAAGCCCACAAAATACACAGTCAATCCACTTTACACTATGTTCTGTGAAGCGCTTTGAGATGTCTCGTGATAAGGCGCTGTATCAAATACAAAGATTATTATTATCAAGTAGGAAAGAGCACCTTTTGAGAGATGAAATCCAATCAATAATTCAATAATTAATAACAAAACTGACTTGTAGCATCCAGGGAGCTTCCAATGGTCACCGAAATAAACATTTTCAGCAAGGCTTTGAAGAGATTTTTTTTAAAAAAAGGAACAAACCTTTTTGTTTCAAGAGAATATAAATTCAAATTGTATTTTATTTAAGTGTTGTATACTTCGGCCCTGGACTGATCAGGTCTGTCACCTCTACTGTTTTCTCTTTGTTTCTTTGCGCAATTTAATAAGGTTAAATTTTGCTAGCTCCAAAAGGACGGAGATATTTCTTAACGTGTTTCGCTCAAGGAGATGTTTCATTTTTGTTAAAACCTAGACAGCATCGCTTGGCTCTCGAAGAGCTTTGAGGCGTCTCAATGACGTGGTAATGCGATGTATCAAATGCAAGAACTATTATCATCAATATTATTATTATTGTTGCACATTGTGTAAGGCTTGTTATTTTTGCCATATTTTCTTTGACACAAAACATCAGCGAAATGCAACATAGCCACAATTGTTAACAATGCTAACAATTTCTCTCCCCTCGTCCGCCTTCCAATTTCCACGCTCCAGTTTTTTAAACAAATGAACCCATTTAAATCCAAGAACGCGAAAAAAAATAACCCTTTCCGTTTAAAACATTTACAGTGCAGAAGTACTTCATTATACAGTGTACAGAATGTTCTATTGAGAGTAGGAAATCTCTATATTGTTTTTATACCTGAAAATAACGAAGCCTTAGTGCTCTTTTGTAATGAACTTTATTTATTTGATACGAAATTTACGGCCCACAATTTGACAGTCGGTCGAAAGAGCGATTTAACCATTAACAACTTTCATGCTAGTGTTGCCATCTGAACTCGTTGCTTGTCTGAACTTGGGCACATTCGATAGAAGATGTTACATTGCTAATATAATTTTGGAAAAAGAAAAAAAAATCCATAGACGTGATGAAAATGTGGTAGACGACTGCTCTATGTGAAGGGCTGTTGTGGTCCTAATTGCTTTATGATATTACTCGTCATTCACAGTTTTTTTTTAACTCTGAAAGGTTGCTAGAGGTGATGTATTTTATTTTGCTGGAGAGAGAGAAGGGAGAAAGAGACGGATAATCAAATTTAATCCCAGTGATGCAGTTTTCTTCATACGGTCACCTGTACCATGCTGTGTTAAACTAAATGCATGAAATTGCCAAAGAGGATTCATTCAGTTGGGAAACCTTCACTTCCTGACAATTTTGTGTCTGAGAAACAGGTCAAGACAATCCATGTTCCCCTGTTCAATTCTGTGATTAAAGTCAGCACTGAATACTTTCATCCAACCTGATCAAATAAAATAATGGCCAATAAATTCAAAGATGATTGGCAGGGACATGGTGGGAGTTTCTCCTGATGTCCTTGGCAAACATTCCTCCCCAACCCCCAGATAAAATTGGTCATTCACTTCACGGCTGTTTGAGGGACATTGCTGCGTGCTACCCTGCAAATACACAGTCACTACACTTTCCAGTACAATCCCATGAAGTGCTTTGAGACATCTCGATGACGTGGCGATGTATCAAATGCAAGGATTGTAACATCTTTGAATTTCTCACCAGTAAGATGAAAATAATGTGATTTGCAAAAAGTAGAATTGATGAGGGACCGTTTATGGGCGAAACACACTGTCTGAAGACCGTTCTGAATTCTGTCGATCATCATAACCGTCAGCAATTAATAACTTTACCTTCTCCCCTCCCCACACACACACACACACTCAACTACACACTTAAATCACATAGACTATCGGCCTATTTTCTTTTGCATCAAATTATGTAACATTGCATGATGGAAACAGGCCAACCGGTCCAACTAATCCATCCATCCATCCATCCTTTGGCATTTAACTATTGAGTAACTTTATCCCCCTGTTTGTTTGGGAACTTTATTGCTTTGATGGGGAGCAATTTGTAAAAGTGAATCTTGGGAAACAGGTGAGAAGAACGCTTGAACTTGCAGTGTCGTGTTGAGTCCTTAGCTCTTTTCATTCTCACTTTAATTGCTTTCGCCCACAAAATACACGGTCAATTCACTTTACAGTATATCCTGTGAAGTGCTTTGAGACGTCTCGAAGACGTAGTAAGGCGCTGTACCCAACGCAAGGATTACTATTATTATTTCAGTGATGGTTTTGTTACTCCTGAGAACATTGAACTATAGCGCAGCGGTTAAGTTTTATTTTTAAAAAAAAAGATACAAAGTTAGAGTATCCTTAGGAGATGAATTAGACCCTTTGTGAGATGGTTACCCATAATAGGTACCGGGTCAAACAGTAGCAAATCTCCCACGGAAATGCCACCATCATACACACGTTCAAACACCTGTACCTTCCTTTCCAAGATGGTGTGTACTGATCATTTCAGCTTCCTTTTTGTAAATACTGTACAATGTTGTGTCCTTATGTTGAATCACTGCACCAACGCAGTGCATTTGCCACTTGTTTCTGAATGGGAAATGAATGCTTCCTCGTCAATGCAAGGATCGAGTACAAATGTTTTCTTTATATTCATTTTATACATACTTGACTAACTTTTTTTTAAATGTAGTATTTTAACTTTTGCTATGTTACTTTACGCTGCAGCCGCTGGCTGCTAGAGTAGAAACATGTTGGGTTTTTTCCTCACCTCAAATCAAGTCTTTTACCAAAATATCCCTGTGAACTTTTCTTGTGTACTGTCAACATTAAAATGCAGCCTAAGTAAGTATGGACATGTTTGTTATGGTAGTGTTATTTCGCTGAGTAACAAAATGTGTGTCGTTTCGTATTGAGTTCACGCTGGGAAACATCCTTGCAGACCACACGACACTATTGTGTCTTAAGTTAGAGTGCTCATGTCTATCTCAGTTTTTAGTCAGTGGTTGACTCAGATTTGTGTGTTTGTGTTTTGTTGAGTTTTTTTTAGGGCGTGGGGTGGGGAAAGGGTCAAAGGGTGCATCTAAATGTACAGCAACACTTGGCTCAGGTTGGGGGTCCTCTTGCCTCTGAAGGTTGCGGGTTCAAGCCCCATATCAGTGCTCCGTACTCTCCGTCTCGGCTGACGCTAGCAGTGCGTCCTTGAGAGAATGTTGCATTGTTGGAGGTGCCGTCCTTGGGATGAGACCGAGGTCCCATCTTCCTGTGCCATTAGGACATTAATGATCCCATGTGAAGAGTCTTGAGATGTCCTCATGATGTGAAAGCCAGAGGCAAGGATTATCATCGAAAAGTGCAGAATTTTGTGACACAACTCATTTGCCAAGTGTCCTGAAAAGTTTTTTTTTAACATGAAAGCAAGTTGTTGTTTTATTTCCTTTTGCAGATTGCTGAAAGATGCTATACAGGTCGAATGGATGCATTTCTGCATTTTGAGAGCATTCACGTGAGCTAATGATCCTTTTGTAAGCCGTTTTATGGAAATCCATCAGTGGTGTACCTCCGACTTAGAATCCCCTTTCATTGATTCGGATAATCCATCTTCTGTGGTGAAAGTAATAATAATAATCCTATTGCTTGCATTTGATATTAGCACCTTATCACATCGTTGAGACATCTCAAAGCTCTTCACAAGCATATACTGTAAAGTGGATTGACTGTATATGTCATTGATTGAGTGACCAAATTATTATTTGGAAGGGATTAGTATAAATCAGGTGAGAGTGACTAGTGATGACCATTCTTTTTAAGTGTTGAAGACTGGAGTCTTGTCTTTGGACAATGCAGTTAGCAAGTGAATGGTTCCCAAGCCTTGAGTTAACGTAGACATTCCTCCAATACTTTGTTCGTAATGAAATGTTTCAATTGTTGGAATAACGTGTTCCCACTTTTATCCGTGGATAATTGTTGTGCCGCTGTTATTTTATTAGACCTTTGAACTAGACATCTGCAACACATTCGTTTGTATAGATTGTACAGCACTGAAACAGGCTATTTAGTCCATCTAGTCGGGACTTTGAACTTACTCAGTGCTGGAGGGAGAGCACTCCAGTGTCAAAATGCCATCCTTCAGGTAAGGAGTTAAACCGAGCGCCAATCTGCCTGTTCAGTTGGACGTAAAAAAATTCCACAGCGCTATTCCAAACGGGAAGGGAGTTTCTCTCTTCCAGTGTCCTGGTCAACAATCCCCCAGATAAAATTGGTCACTCGCCTCACTGGCTGTTTGTGGGATATTGCCACTCACTGCGCTTGCCTACAAAATGTATAACCACTGTAAATCCTGTAAAGCGCTTTGACGTGTCCTGTCGACCTGAAAGGTGTTATATCAAATACAAGAATTATTATTATGAGTGGAAAAAGCTTGATGACTGACCTCCTTGCTGACGCCCCCTTCCTTACTGACTCACAACCTACTCTGTTAACCCAGAGGCTACATCAGTGGAGACGGGGGCACTTCTGTGCTTGAAAGCAATAACATTTGACTGGCGGAAGGCTGGTCAAAGTATTCACCTGAGGCACATCTCACTAATCCAATAATCAACCCAAGTCCTTTTCACCCAAGGTTTGACATAGTGGAGTCCTGTAGCTCAGTGGTTAGAGAACTCGCCTTGCAAGTGAGACACCTGGGTTCAATTCCAAGCAGGGCAAAATCTTGGGCAAGTTTCCTTACTCCACACAGAGCCTAATAATAATCCCTCCAAAAACAAAAATAATAACAAATTGGTCATTTTCAATCCACGACTGTTTGTGGGACACTGCTGTGTGCAATTGGCTGCCGCGTTTCGCCCACAAATATACGGTCAATTCACTTTACAGCATATTCTGTGAAGCGCTTTGAGACGTCGAGAAGACGTGAATAGCACTTTATCTAATGCAAGGATTATTATTATTATAGTCATGGTACTTACTCTGCCTTTATCACAACAACAATGTGCTTTAATATAGCACCTCCAGGTAACA